AAAAGTGATACTCCAGAGATCAGAAGATAAAGATAATATGTATAATGTATAAATATATATGATATATATAAAATAACAGAGTTGGACATACTTTTTAAAAAACTTAAGTACAACAATTCTATGAATTCTGGAAGTAGTGACTATGTGAGAAATAAGTGACATGGTAAAAGCAATGTTTAAGGGTGATATACTTTTTGCACTAGATGGGACAGATTGAAGTGGAGATAGACTAGAGGCACGGAAAGTAAATTAGTGTGGTTTTTAAGTAATTTGGTTAGGAAAAAAGAGGGACAGGACTAAGGTGGTGTAATGGAAAACGAAAAGGAAAGAATGAATAGGTGACAAATACCAAGTAAAAAATTTGTATAGAATATTACATAATGTTTGAGAAAAAAATGTAATGATGGTACTTTGTTTTTAGTTTTTCTGGATCATTCCCCCATGTTTTCTCTTAGGATTGGAAAGAAAATATACCCTTAGTATTAAGAAGGATATGGCGATAAAGTAATAGTGCTTTTCAGTTTATTTTTTTTCTAACAAAGAAACGCTATTACGTGGGATCATAATTATATTTTTTCATTTTATGCTCACAACACCTCAGTGACTTTGGTGTTATCATTCTGACTTTAGATATGAAGAACTTGGGCATCCAAAATTAAATGGGTCTGCAAATTTTAAAGTCACATATGTCATACCAGATAGGGGTACGATGCAAACACATCTCTTTGCTCTTAGCAGTGTTCTTTTTCACTACACAGAATTTTCTTTCTGTTGAAGGAATACTCTTATTCATGCCTCTGTTTTCAATTAGAACTTTATTTCTTTTATTTCCAGGTAAATAATTTCTACTTTATTAAAATATGTGTTTATTTTATTTAAAAATCACTTTATATCACCACATTTCTTATTAGAAAGTAGGATTAGTAGATATCCAAGCATGCAGAGAGAAATTTCTCTAGTCATAATAGCAGTAGGAAAGAATTCTCAGAGTTAGAATCTTTTCAACTTCTCCTCATTTCCAGGTATACTTGGAACACACAAAGAGACTAGTAATATATCTGCCAAAACGTGAATTATTCTATTTTGTTCAATATGTCAAAATCACTTTGATTTCCATAAAATAATATGACAGGCGCAATTAATATCCATATTCTCCTTCACACTTCTCAGCCTCCCTTGCTGGCCAGAAAAGTCATGTGCACACCTATTCTTCCCCGTGGGAGTAAGCTTCAAAGGCGCATTGGAGATGATGGAGTCACAAGATGAAAGCAGAGTGGATATCCCTGACTTAGATGGGTAGGGAGCCATTCTGGGGAGCTACTGGACTCACAAGCAGTTTTTGTGTGAGCAAAAAATGAACTGCTATGTGCTTAGCCACTGAGATGTGGGATTTGTTTGTTACTGCAATATGATCTATCTTACCCTGACTAATTTAGGCATTGAATCCGCAGCACACAAGGATAATTTGAAGTAGCAAGACTATTAAAGGCGAGGAAAAATATCAGTCAATTTTGATTTCAGAGAGGGAGAAACAATTGCTTTAAAAAATCCTATTTGTTAGGGAGAAAATGTCATTTGAAGAAAATTTACCAAGTAACTGCTACAGAGTCACAAGATTCAATGTAGAAAAATAGCCTTTTATCCCAACCCAACCCAGCAAACCATTATTCTTTTCTATTATTCTATTTTCTATTATTTTATAATAGAAATACAATATAATAATAGTTTCTATTATTCTAGCAGTCAAATAAATCTCACCTAGACCACCAGCGTCATAGGCCATCGGCATTGGGGAATATAACAGAAACGGGTGGCAGAAATGTGGTTTGCGGATTTTTGAGTTGGTAAAAAGATTTAATCCTGCAGACTGGAAGAAAATTAATTATTAGAGCATATTGGCAATCCAATCTTGAAACTGGAATATTTTCTTACATTTGTATTACACTTTCACTATTGTTATATATACAGCTCATAGGACCATCATGAAAATTCCGCACAATAGAGAAGAGAGCTATTTTATTTCTATGAATATGGAGTCACAGAAAGGGCTAGTTTATCCAGTTGGTAAATGGGAGTTGGGATTAGAACCCACTTCTGATTCCTACTTCTAAATTTTGCGTGCTGTATGCTGATGCCTCTTTGATTATATTTTGCATTCAGGAAACTGAGTGTTTTAGCATTTGGCCATTTTTTCCCCTTCCCTTCCCCTGCCTCAAACAAATACAACATATATACATATATTATATATATATATCATATATATATATATATATATATATATATATGATATATATATATGCACACACACACACACCTCATAGCTTTATTGCAGAGGGTAATTTTTTGCTTCTTTTCATTTGAAATTGTATGGTTGCATATGAGATGTTTTTTTGGGTTTTTTTTTTTAAGATTTTTATTGGGGAATTGG